ACAGAGATGGTTCCCAAAGGCATTGCGGCAAGTCATCTTATTTACAAACTCTGGGTTTTCTGCGAATGAAATCAGTTGGCACAGTTTTCCTTGACTTGTTGCGCTAGAATAGTGGGTGGGTGGCCAAAGTCCTGTGCTAATTCATGTCACATTCTGGTTAACAAATCTCAAGGAGAATCTCTTGCTGGGGCAGAGTTTGGTCAAAGAATGCAAAATTGCAATTAGATGAGGGGATTACATTTCAGAGGATCCAGTGTGCCATATGATGACTGTAATTGAATTGCATAGCTGAAAATCAGTAAGAATAGAATTTTTTTTTAAATTACTTTTATTAGAAAAACAGATTTCATAGAGAGAAGGAGACAGAGATCTTCCATTCCCTGGTTCACTCCTCAAATGGCCTCAACAACCAGAACTGAGCCAATCTGAAAGGGGCAGGGTCCCAAGGCTTTGGGTTATCCTCTGCTGCTTTCCCAGGCCATAAGCAGGGAAGTGGATGGCAAACAGAGCAGTCAGGACATAAACTGGTGCCCGAATGGGATTCCAGCACTTGCAGGAAGAGTATTAACCAATTGAGCCATTGTGCCAGGTCCAGAATAGATTTTAAGTGTACTCACCACACACACACACACACACACACACACACACACACACACGGAGTGAGATCATACATATTTAACTAGTTTGATTTAGCAACTCTACAATGTGTGTGCATTTCAAAACATCCTGCTGTACACCCTACATATATACACTTTTGTCAATTAAAATTTCTTTTAAAATAATTAACAGTGGAAACAGGCCGTAAGTTGCTGGGATGGAAGCCAAGTATATTACAAAAGACTTTGCCGGGAGGGGGCAAGACGGATTTGTGTGTCATCTTTGTGCAGGGGCCATGCTAATCTTCTCTGTATCATTCCAGTTTTAGTATATGTGCTGCTGAAGCGAGCACGGGCAAGATGGATTTGTAAGAAGCTTTTCAGAGGTTCACTTACAAGTTCTCACAGGTCCAGAGGCCACTTCTGGAGACATGCTCCTATCTTGGTCTGCAGTGGTGTTTACCCTTCCTCTGGCCTGTTACCCTTCCTCTGGTTGTGAAACCATAAATGTCTCCAGTCATTCCCAACTGGTCCTTGGGAAAGCCTCCTCTCACCTTCTCCCTTGTAGAGGTAGGAACCACTACTGTCGAACCTCAAGCCCTGACACGATTTCCTGCTGTAGCTACCATTCTGTGATTCCTGCAGCAGGAGATTGGGAAGGCCAGAGCGAACAGCATCCTGCCCATCCTAGAGTATTCTTCATTGAACTCTCCCAGCAGAGCAAGAGGCAAGGCTTCAAGGGGAAGGAAACACAAACACATTTAGGGAATATCGAATGTCCAAACAGGCATGAATCCCAGCACAGACGGCTCTTCGGTAGGCTGGACGTTCCCTGCTGGCCGCGCGAGGCAGGGGCTCAGCCATTACAACCTTAACACCGCGTGGTCCTGAGCTCAACCTGCAGGTAGCTCCTTCCTGGGAAGGTGGGTGGATGATGGGTAGGGTGCAGAAACCCATGGCACTAGGCCAGTGTTGTGGGTTAAGTCCCATATCAGAGTGCTGGTTCAGTACCCTGCTGCTCTGCTTCTAATCCCACTTCCAGCTGATGTGCCTTCAAAGGGCAACGTGACGGCCCCCTACCACCCACCTGGGTGACTTGGTTTTAGCTCTGGCTGTCCTGGCTGTCTTGGAGGAACAAACAAGCACATGGAAGACGAAGACGTCACATAACCAAGGAGAGCACATTGAAATAACGTCACTCCATTATTACCTATTATATTAGCAAAGTACAAAGCCATGACAGCAGACTAAGTCTACCCCGGAAAACAAAACGTTAAAGTATTAAAAACAGGGGCCCAGTGGCGTGGCCTAGCGGCTAAAGTCCTCGCCTTGAACACACCTGGACCCCATATGGGTGCCGGTTCTAATCCCAGCAGCCCCACTTCCCATCCAGCTCCATGCTTGGGGCCTGGGAAAGCAGTCGAGGATGGCCCAAAGCCTTGGGACCCTGCACCCACGTGGGAGACCCGGAAGAACTTCCTGGATCCTGGTTTCGGATCGGCCATAGCATCGGCCGTTGCTCTCACTTGGGGAGTGAATCATCGGACAGAAGATCCTCTCTGTCTCTCCTCCTCTCTGTATATCTGACTTTCCAATAAATAAATAAATCTTTAAAAAAAAATACTGAAAAAAAGAAAAACAGGGAATATTTTCTGAAGAAGTCTGGAAGAAGACAGCAGATCTTATCCCTGAGTGTGTGTGCATCCATGGTCTCAGGACTCACTGTTAGTTTTTAGATGCGATTAAGTTCTTAGGCACAGCTCATTTCCCCCAGCCGTGGCACAAGTGGAGGCTCATTTTGTACAACCCAGGTGAGCCTGGAAGGTGGGAACCTGGGGAACTGTTGGGAGGGGCTGCAGGTGGGCCCCAGGGACTGGTGACTGAGGTTGTGGCAGGTACTTGGTAAATGGGCTGGGATTCGGGGGGAGAGGCCACGAGAGAACAGTGGGTGAGATTCTCAGATAAGACACCACGAGGCTACATCTCATTGGTGGATAACCGGAAGGGCACGAATTTTGCAAGCAGCGGGACGGGGAAACAGGAAGTGGTGCAGGCTCCAAAACGGGATGTCGGAATCACTCCTGACACTTCCCGACTCCAGGACTGTTCAAGGTACGCTGGTGCTTTCTGTGTTCCCAGGGGAACACGGCCTTTCTTCTCTGCTGTGAGCCCCTGTAAGTGTTCTCTCACGCTTGCACACTTCCCACTTTAGTTCGCCGCATAATGAAGAAATGAACACTGTTGTCTCTGAGGGATAGAGGGAACCCAATGAGATTTATAAACAACTGTGCTGGGGGGTACAGCCAGCCTTGTTGCAAGGACTCCAGGTTGTAGCTGCAGGCAGAAGCTCTGGGCAGGAGAAGACTGGAAAAAGAAGCAGGGGCTGCAACAGGCTGGGAGAGAAGCCTACAGGCGGGCGGGATCCTTTGGGTTGCGAGGAGAGAGGACTGAGGCAGTCCTTGTGTCCCTCTTCTCCAGCGGGGCTGCTCCAGGCAAGCACAACCCCTCCTCGGCCGCTGGGCATTTGGGTTCACAGAGGTGTGCGCTGCTGCAACACCCCCTGGGTCCGCACCGGCCAGAGCCAGAATGAGCGCGACCAAATGTGTGTTAAGTAAGGACGTGAGCTTTCTCTGCTCCAGCCCTAAGACCTTGGGTCATGGCCAAGCGGGTCATCGGTTGTGAAATGACAGGTGGGGAACCTCCCCAGCAAGACACTCCTGGTCATTTGTAACCCTCCTGTGTGGACCCAGGTCACCTAGGAGCACTGCAGCAGGAACAGCAGGTGCAAAGGGCCTGGGAGGGGGCGTGTGGAATCTTGGTCGGTGTCATCCAGAGTGCAGCCCACCGAACATGCATGAACTGAGGACATGTAAATGCTTTCCCTATGGTGAGACCGCTAAACTAGCACTACCTAGCACGCTCCTAGCACCGCAGCCTCTGGGCTCCGGTGCCCCTCCCGCCGCAGGTCCAGCGTTCCCTGCTGCGGCAGCGCCTGCGCACTAGCGCCTGCGCTGGCTGAGGACGGTCCCATCGGCCCGGCGCGGGGGAGCACGGCGGCCCCCATCCCGGTGGTCTGTTGTCCCGGAAGTAGGTCCCAGTGAGCCCTGGATCCCGGAGCTTCTCCTGGCCGGCTTCTTGCTTGCCCTTTAGGGCGTTCCCGGAGTTCCCGGAATTTGGGAAGCCCCGGATGGTGGGCGTCCGGACCCGCCGTCCCCGCGCCTGGCGCTGAGGTAGGTTCTAGGCCGCTCGTAACCGACGTGGGAACCTCATGGCGGGGCCTGCGGAGTGGACGCCCGGCCCTGGCTAGCCTTCCCTTCCCTGCTCCCTAAACTAGCAGAGGAGGCCGGACTCTTGGGAGCAGGCCCTCTGTGCGAAGAGCTGTCCCTGAGCTTATGTTTACTCATTTGACCCGAAGCCTTCCTATGACGTGGGTAAACGGAGGTACGCTGGTGCGTGATCGCAGCTGGAGGCCCGCGCAGCCTCCCTGGGACTTCACTGTGCACCACCTCCCACAGAAGCAGAGAACATAGCCCGAACTGATGCTTGATATTATGTGGAAGGTCTTATCTGTTACGTAGCCAAATTTTGCATATGGGACCAAAAAAAATTTTTTTTAAATGGTGGTTTGCTTTACTCTTTTACTTTCACACATTCTTCCCTTCCTGTCCTTCCAGACACTTCTCAATCCCTTCTCAGGTGCTAGGGGTATAATAGAAGGGGGTACACCTTGAAGCCCTCTGGGGGCAGGGAAGCAGATGGGAGGAGTGGACCCTGGTGGACCTGCCAGGGCTGGCCCCATTGAGGACGGAGAGGGGTCTGGGCAGGCCCTGGGGTGAGGTAGGCACAGGAGGCATGGAAGATCCTGGCGTGCACACGGAGGATTGGCCGGAGCAGCTGGAAGCAGGCCTGTGATGGAGGGAGCCAATGTGGTGTGATTGCCGAGGTACCTGGCAGTGCAGGCCCAGGGTTGCCTGGGAGACAAATCATTGGCTTCTCCTGGGAATGCCCTATTGCACCTCAACAAACACGCCTTACTCTCCTCCTGCTTCTTTCTTCAGTCCCATACCTTCTCAAGGGCTCTGTGCCCTGGAGCCCTTTCCTGTAGAAAGTGCCTACTCTTGCCACTTTGCTGTGTAGTTAAATTTTTTTATTTAAAAAAAAATCTTTTTTTACTGGAAAGGCAGATTTGTGGAGAAAAGGAGAGATAGAGAGAAAGATCTCCCATCCCCTGACTCACTCCCCAAGTGGTGGCTATGATGGCTGGAGCTGAGCCAATCTGAAGCCAGGAGTCAGGAGTTTCTTCCAGGTCTCCCACATGGATGCAGGGTCCCAAGGCTTTGGGCCGTCCTGTACTGTCTTCCCCAGGGCAGGAACAGAGAGCTGGATGAGATGTGGAGCAGCCGGGACGTGAACTGGCACCTGTAAGGAATCCTGGTGCATGCAAGGTGAGGATTGAGCCTTGAGCCACTGTGCAGGGCCCTTCCTGTGTAGTTAAACTCACCTCTGTTCCCATCACACTTTTCCCCTGCTTAGGGGTCTGACCAGCCTTCCCTCCCTTCCAAGCCTGCTTCTCCGCCTGTGCCTTGACCCCATGGGCCACCCATGTCTGCTTCCGTGAGGTGACTTGCTTGGGGTTTTCTGTGTCTGCTTGTTGTCTTCCCCTCTGCGGGTACAGAAGTGCCCGGTGAGAGCGCACAGGGGGTTGTTGTGTGCCCCGCTCCTGCGCCCTGCACACCCAGCCTTCCGGGGTTTGCTGGGCTCTGCCCCACTGTGTGCAGTACTGGAATGCGTGGAGGATCTTCTTCAGATTTGTGTTCTAGTTCTCCCTAGGGTGGCTCCTAACAGGGTCAGCCTTGCCACCCTAATGGGTTCCAATGGGAGGCAACAGGGTGGCGGTACTGTTTTGCAACTAATTGTGTGAGGTCTGGATTTAAAGGTTTTGAAGCAGCAACTAGAAGTAAACAGCCTCTTAGGAGAGAGAATGCAGGCTGGTTAGTGTTACAGACGAGCCCAAGGCCCCTGCGAGACCCCTGCCTGCCTCCATAGCCCCGCACCCCACTCTCCTTGCTGAGGAAAGGCCTGCTGAACCCAGTTCCAAGGTGATTTTTCTTTTTGATTTTGATTTATTTGAGAGGCAGAGTACAGATTGAGAGAGATGTACAGATGCAGGGAACATGTTGGTTTCCTCCCCAAATGACATCAAGGAGCAAAGAGCTTCTCCCATGTGGGTTCAGGAGCCTAAGCATTTGTACAATCCCCTACTGCTTTCTCTGACGTACCAATAGAACTAGCACCCGTTTTTATTGGACAATTGAGTAGTTGAAGGGCATCTGCAGAGTGCCATCTGAGCCCTCTGAGGGGCCGAGCCTCGGTGTCCTGGGATGGAAGTTTTGGGGTGTGATGTGGGCTGCAGTCTTGACAGACGGGTTTCTCCCTTTGCTGTGCCAGTGTTGGCCTAGGCATGTGTCACCATCCCGTTCTTGTCCTCCTTGACAGCAGTACAAATGTGCAGTTTGCTTCTGCCGACCTGGCTGCTGATGCACTGTAACAGCCATCACAGAACGGGGCCTACGTGAGCCCCTGCAGCTCAGCTCTCCGGGAGCCACCATCTGGGTTTCTAATGGGCCTTTAGCTAGCCTCTCCACAGACGTCAGCTCACCAGGGGCCCACTTTGGATTCCTGGGGACTGGCGTGAAGCTGTTGCTCCTTCACCCTTCTGCCACTCTTCCCCGTGGGCATTGTCTCCCATGAGGCACCTCGGCTGACTTGTCACCTGCCATCTTTGGTACCTAAATCACATGGGGTTAGAATGTACAGGTTTTTTCTTTCTCTCTTAGAAGTTCATTTATTTTCATCTACTTGAAATGCAGAACAAGAAAGAGAGATCTTGCATTTGCTAGTTCCCTAAATGCCTACAGCAATCAAGGTATGGACAGGCTAAAGCCAGGAGCCCAGAACTCCATCCTGGTCTCCTGTATGGGGGGGCAGGGGTCCAAGCCTTTGGCCCGTCATTTACTGCCTCCCAGGATCTATTAACAGGAAGTTGGATTTGAAGCAGAGTGCTAGGACTGGAACCAGCGTTTTCCATCTTCATCTTCCTGCATAGTCCGCATTGCACTCTACCCTACCGCGGTGCAGCCTGCTCTCTGGCAGGTGCTGCTGCTCCTCTTTCCCAGGAAAGCACATCTTACGGGTCTGGGCTTCACCTTGACTGTCAATAGCTATCTTTGCTTCCTTTCCTCATTTCTCTTCTGAGTACTTCAGTCTCTTTCTCTTTGAAACCTTGAACTTGATCTCATCTTGGGACGGTGAATGAGGAGGAGGTGGGATCATGTTTAGATTTGGGGCCTAAACATCTGGGTGCACAGGTGTCGCATTTTCCAGCTCGAGTTGACAGTAGGAAGAGCAGGCGAAGGGAGAACTTCAGAGGAGTTATGAGCCAGACAACCCTAGCAGTGGCCGACACAGCAGTGATGAGCAAGGCACAGAGTGTTGAATGAGAAATGAGGAGCTAGGAAAGCCACCTGGGAAGTGTCATTTAAGGGACACACGATGGAAGAGGGGACCAGAAAAGCCAGTGAAAAGGAGGCAGAGGGACAGGACAGCTGAGAACATGAGGGCCCAGGAAAAGCACCCTTTCAACGGGAAGAAGCAGCTGGGTGTCAGGGGTTGCTGATAAGCCATAAGGGAGCCACTGGGGCCTTGGCCAGGGACTGGGAGATGAAACAGGAAGAAGTCCTTCCCAGAGTTTGTCAGTAATGGAGAAAGGAGTTAGGATACTGGGGGCCCGAGGCCCTTGGTATCTGCAGGCTTCCCTATCCTGTCTGGCCTTCAGGAGGCTGCCTTACCAGGGCATTCAGAAGCTGTGAGTAAGACCTGTGGCATCATTGGGCACATCTCCTGGACCTGCCTGGGTGCCAGATGCAGCCAGCTGTGCTAGCCTTCCTGGCTAGCCCTCGCAGCAGCCAGCACTGGCCCTCTTTCTGGGAAACTTTCAGGACTCCCAGGTCTTACAGTGCTGTGTGGTCCTTCTTACCATGGCTCCAATGGTGTGTGTTATGCACACACCTCTTGTTCACATCAGGCCAAGCAGGAGTGTGCAACACAGAGGTTTACCAAGTGCCTCCTGCATTCCTCGTAAACACTGAAAGAACGAAAAGAAAAAGCAGCCAGTTTGGCAAAGTAGATGGATGCAGAAGTGTGAAGGTGCAGAGGACTTAGGCCCCGGTGGTGGGAGAGGAACATGAGCCCCACTTTCACAAGGTTGGTCGGTTCCACAGCTGATTTCCTGTTGTGCTGCTCTCCTTTCTGCCATCTGGGCCTCCCCCTCTGCCTTAGCATCCCCTGGTGTGAAGTTGGGTAGCTGAGAGCCATTCTCCTCATCTTGCTTTGCAGCCTGGGCTCATCTCATTTCCCCCAAGGTGCCAAGCATGTTGGAACTAGAAAAAGTAAAAAAGCCCCCCAAGAGACCACCTCCCTCAGAGTCAATGGGGCAGGAGCCCCATGTGTGTGCCAGCAGCCCAGTGGCCAAGAGTCCATCTGCCACCCTGGCTTGCCCTGGCCCCAAGTTCATCACCACAGCTGTCAACACCCACCCTGGACATGGCCATGCTGCTGGAGAAGACCTGCCAGGGGCTGAAATCAAACCTGAGATTGTTGAAGCAGAGGGCAAGGGTGCTGGTGACCACAGAAAGAAGCTCAGACCCTCTGGCTCCCCAAAGGAACATGAAAGTGACCTGTCCCTTTCAAGGAGCACCCCCCACCCACTTCCCAGTGGCATGTTGGACCCTGAACCTGACCTAGCCCAAGTTCTCCTTGAGAGAAAGGTAGAAGGTACCCTTGGCTTACCTGCCTATACCAGGAAGAAAAAGGCCTGCACCCCGGGGAGGCCTGGTCTTCACCCAGCTGCCTCGCAGACCAAGTGCAGAGGCAGCCCTGCGCAGAGGAAGCCAAGGAGGGATTCTGGCTCTAAAGCAGACCCTGGGCAGGAGCCGCTTGTTCTGCCTAAGAAGAAGAAAGTCTCCAGACAGAAAGCACGTGTCTGGAAAGAAGAAAAGGGGCAGTCCAGAAAGAAGTCAAGGTCACTGCCGCCCAGTGTGGAGCAGGCTCTTTCTCCCTCAGCTGGCATCCCGGTCCTCTCCCAGCCCCCGCAAGTGGCCAGCCCTGAGAGGCTGGAGCTGAGCCAGGAAGCAAGGCAAGCCACCGTCCTCCCAGCCCAGGGGACCCCAGAGGCGCAACCCCCAAAGAAATGGAAGAAAAAGCTTCTGCTCGCTGGCATGAAGGAGAAGTTAGAGAGCCAGCCGAGCGTACGGAAGTCGTCCTGCTGGAAAAAGCTGATCAGGGCTGTGCAAGCGCAGACCCAGGCCGTGTCTCCTGCCCAGCACTCCCTGGGCCTGCTGCAGGAAGCGGGGCCGAAGCCCATGCTGGACGTCACCGAGTTCTTCACTGTTGACCGTAAGAACATCCACCGGCTCATCTGCAGTCTCTGTCACAGCAGTGTCAGACAGAGTAGAGCTGAGGGGCAGTCCCAAACCTCAGGCCTTGTCCACCACTTGGCCAGTAAACACGGGCTGCGGTGGGAGAGAAGGTCGTCTGCAAGCAGCCAGGGGAACGTGCCAGCAGATGCTGCCAGCCCTGTGTCTGAGGGGCACCCAGTGCCAAGATGCCACCCACCCACTGCATCCTGGGGAGGCAGCAGCAGGGAACCTGCCCTGGACAGTGCTGGTCAGCCGTTCCAAGCCCCGCCAGCCTCACCTGTTCCACCGGTAGCGGTGAGGGATGGCCAGAGTGGCACCTATGCTCCCAATCAGCCCCGTGCCCAGGCCTGGAACCACAGCGTAGCAGAGCTGCTGTGCGGCCTGGCCTTGCCACTCTCCTTCGTGTCCTCCAAGCCCTTCAGGAAGTTCATGGCCCAGGTGGACCCCTGCTACCATCTGCCCTCTCCAGCCTTCTTCTCCAACAAAGCATTGCCACTGCTGCACGAGGCCGTGGGTGAGCAGGTGCTTCAGGAGATGCAGTGGGCTGCAGGGGGCCGTGTCCACCTCACTACCTCCATGTTGTCCCACGACTCGGTCGTGAACTACGTGGCCATCACTGCGCACTGGGGGACCACAGGGCAGGGACCGGTGGCTGCATCAGGGAGCCTGAGAAAGCAGGCAGTTCTGTGGGTCCGGGGCATGCCCCTGGAGAAAGCAGTAGAGGAGAAGCAGTCAGAACTGCTAGAGCAGATCAGTGTGTGGCTGGGCCGCAGCTCCCTGAGACCAGGGTTCCTGGTGTCAGGCGGCTGCCCCAGCCTGGAGCTGACGGTGAAGGCTGAGGGTTACACCCACATCCCTTGTTTTGCTCACCATCTCAACTCCCTGGTGAGTAACTTTTTGTGTCGCCACCATAGCATCCAGATTATCCTGGGCACAGCCAGGGCCATCTGCAGCCATTTCCAAGGCTCTGCAGAGGCCCGGAGGCTCCTGGTCCAGTTGCAGCAGCAGTGCGGCCTCCCAGCCCAGCAGCCCTTGGAGGCACTCTCAGACCACTGGGCTTCAGCCTACCGTTTGATGGAGTGGCTGGTAGAACAGCAGCAGCCACTGAAGCAGTATGAGGAGAAGCACCAGCTAGGCAAGGATGGCACCGCCCTGTCGGCCATGTTCTGGAGCCTGACGACCAGCCTCGTCCAGCTCCTGCAGCCCTTCCAGATGGTGGTGCAGGAGGCCAGCACGCCACAGGCTTCGCTGAGCCAGGTGCTGCCCCAGCTGCGTTACCTGTACATCTTCCTGGATCAGGCTCACAGGCACTTCAGGGGACAGAGTGCTGGGGAGGTGGATGTGGCCATCAGGCTGGCCGAGGGCCTGGCCCTGCAGCTCTCCACGGACTCTCAGCTCAACGAGTTCTTCTACCGGGAGGAGTTTGTGCTGGCGACCTTACTGGACCCCCGCTTCAAGGGCAAGATGGAGGCCATCCTGCCCACGGGGGCTGACATCGACCACTGGAGGCAAGTGCTTGTGTACAAAGTGAAGGAGATCATGGTGTCTGAAGACTCTTTGCCGGCCTCAGGCACCCTGCTGGGCCCCAGGGGGACACGTGTGAGCACTCCCATGGGCATGGCCAGGAGCCCGAGGGAGCCTCTGCAGAGCTGGGGTGGCTCCGGCTCCTTGCTCCTGGGCGGGCGGGGGAAGAGCCTGCTGGAGCAGCTGGAGAGTGCGGGGCTGCTGGCATCCGAAAGGAGCGGGGCCTCACTTGCCACCGAGAACCACCAGGCCAGCATCATTGTCAAGAAGTACCTGCGGGAAAACGAGACAGTCGGGGCCCAGGATGACCCCCTAGCTTACTGGGAGAAGAAGCGCAGAGCGTGGCCAGCCCTGGCCCAACTGGCCACCATCTACCTGTCATGTCCTGCCACGGGCGCCTTCTCTGAAGGGATCTTTGCCTCCTTGAACAGCCCCACCATGAAAGAACAAGAATCTTCCCTCAAAACAGAGACCATTGAGCATCTCCTCTTCTTGAAGGCCAACCTGGAGAACTTCCCCAACTACACTCCACCTCCCCTTGTCTTTCCCAGTGGCGACCTGGCCAAGGCGGAGCAGAATGCATAGCCTGAGCGGGGAATCCCAGTGCCTATAAAACTGTGTCACATAATGCAATGTAATCAATAATAATAATAATAATAATAAAAAGAATGCATAGCCTGCCTGGTGGCATCCTGCTCATGGCATCTTGTAGGCTCAGACACTTAGAGGAAGACCTGGCAGTCACGTAGAGGGACCCTGCAGTGGGTGAGAGAGCAGAGTGTCACATCCAAGGACACGACACGTAGGTGGCCAGAATCTCACCCATTTGATAAGGAAGAGAGGGTTGCCCGATTTTTCCAGGTGGCCAGGTCTTGTTGGTTGTATTTCTTTTTCTAGAGGCTGTCAATTCTACTTGCCCATTATCAGTTGTATCTAATAGTATTCGCAAAGAAAAAGCTGGCTGTGTTCATACGTGCTGATGAACTGATACTGTATGGCTTAGCAAATTGAAATGTTCTGTTGAGATGATAGTGAATATCAAGGACTTTACATACAACTTGTCCCTGTGGATAAATGGATGCATGCTGTTAAGAGGTTTGCTTTCTCAAAGAAGTGACCAGGACAAGGGGAGGTCTGGGGCCCGGCACAATAGTGTAGTGGTTAAGTCCGCCACCTCCAAGCACCAGAATCCCATATGGTCGCCAGTTCTAATCCTGGCATCCCAGCTTCCTATCCAGCTCCCTGCTTCTGGCCTGGGAAAGCAGTTGAGGACAGCCCAAAGCCTTGGGACCCTGCACGCTGTTGCAGCGTGATTTGAATTCAGGCCTTACCTCGAGATTGCTTATATTCCCTCTGTCCCTGCGGGAGCAGAGAGCAGAGTGAAGAGGGGCTGTCCAGTGGCACAAGATAGTGTGTTGCTCTGCAGCTGCCCTCGCCCCAGCCTTGGGCAGGGCCGTGCCATCTCTTGTGTTCTTGGAGAGGATGCAGCCCAGGCTGATGAGGTAGCCAGAGTGGGTAAAGAACAGCAGGAAGATATGGGAGGACATAAAACTAAGACAGCGGCTGGGGTGGAATGGGATGTGGGACAGACTGGATTACTGCTACACTTACTGGCAAACCAGGGTAGGGGGTGGGCCTGGTTGGGGTTATTGTGGGTCGCTCCAACCTAGGCTACAGCTCCTGCTGGTTTATGTGAGGGCCAAGTATGTGCTGGGCAGAACCAGGCTGGACTGCAACACCCATTGGTTCCAGTGGAAGTCGGGAGTGAAAACAGAACCAACCCAGGAATTGCAACCACCAGCTGATTGGAGCGATGGACGGTGCCAGGCCCTGTACTTGTTAGCACATACAAGAAGTTTCTTTGGAGATCTTCCTAATCTAAATGCTGGACTCAGAACCCTAACGAAGAAAAGAGAGAAGACAGAACAGGTCAACCAACCATCTCAGCTATGATGGACTATGTCAATCAGTGGATTTTTCAAAGATCTCATAGTGCTTGGAGTGGCAAGATTGACAGTGATTCATAACTGTGGCAATATCAAAACCACTTGAGCAAGAACCTCAGAGCATGCCCTATATCCGGGACCTGGGGAGGGTGGGAAATTGGGTGGGCTTCTCCCTTAAATACCCCCCTTTGAATATGAAGCTAACAATATGGAAAACATACTAGTATTATCCACTTTCCTGTAGCCCTTGAACCTTCTTACCCTAATTAACTATGTAAAGAATGTCAAAATAAAATTTATTAATAAGAAGAAAAAAAAAAAAAAGAAACATCAAAAAAAAAAAAAAAAAAGAACAGCAGGAAGATGAGGAGGTAGTGACAGTACAAGGATGTCAGGATGTCAGGGTCCCAGGCTATGGGGCTCAGCCCCGGAGCCTTGCTTCTCCCCAGCAGGCAGTTTTCAGTCTCCACCCCAGGGCCTAGGCAGTGCCTGCAGGTGTTTTGGTTGTTACAGCTCAGGGAGGGGCATGATCCTCTCAGTGTTCGATGGGGTGCTCTACATACCCGACAGTGCACAGGATGGCTCCTGCAGCAAAGCCTGGGAAGCCCCTTCTGGGGTGTGTGGGGGACATGGGGTGGGGCGCCAGGATGGTTCACTGACGAAGGAGCCTGGGACAGTTCATTAGGACCAGCTCTGGGTAAGCCATTCTTCCTCTCAGCTGAGTTCTCTGCCATCCCTGACTTCACAGTTGGCAGTTTTCTGGCCCCATTTCCTACATAGGAGAGCGGAGACTCAGGAGCAATTGGCCCATCTCTAGTTGAGTCAGCCTCTTTCAGGAGACCCGAATGTCATCCATATCACCGGGTTCGTCTTACCCACTTTAGGGACCAAGAGGACTTGTTCATTTGGTTTTTGTCATCAGGGCCAGAGTGGCTTCTGTTCTGAGGAGGGGAGCTTGGATCTTCTCTGAGCCCAGTGGCCGCTTTGCCAGTGTTGCTCACCTGCATCCTTCCCAGACTCCTTCACTGCAGCTCAGGAGTGGGGTTCATCCCTGACCCCTGCCTCTCGCTGTACACAGACTTCCTGCCAACGTCCCCACCAAGGAAGCAATCCTGCGCCCCGTTCATTCTTGACACCAGCCTGGGGCTGCCAGTGCCACTTGGTCACTCACGCATGCCATGAACTGTCTTGTTCCCAGCTGTCCCATCTGATCTGCTTGTCTGAGAAGGAAGCTCCCTGCCATTTTCACCTCCCTGCTTGGGGTCTGTGTCTCATGTTTTTATAACATAGACAGCTTCCTGGTTTCTCAGCTTCTTTCGGGGCCCGGGCCTGGTCAAAGCATGGCTGAGAAGGTCTGCTCTTGTTTTGCTGTTGCCTTCAACTTTCACCTGCTGTGGGCAGCATCAGCAGGGTCCCTCCCAAGGCCTCCTCCCTTGAGTACCAGTGTGGTGTACATGCTGGCCCACGCCACTCACAGCTTGTTGTGCCCCTCCCTAGCTTTCTGCAGCCAACTCGGGTGTCCCCTGCCCCTCCTCCAAGACAGCTCAGGATAGCTATTCTCCCTGCCTCCTGCCCTACCCCAACTCCCGCTGGCCTTCAGGCAGTGATGTCATGTTTGCTGTTGGCACAGGGCCGCCTGGCACATAATGATCAGTGCTGTTCCTGTTGACCTCTGACTTGCTGACCAAGGCAATAGTGCCAGTTTGGGCAGACAGCAGTGAGGTGGGGGTAGCAACTGAACAGGGCCTCGCTGTGTCCGACTTTGCCTGGCTCTTCTCTGCCTTGATCCTCAATTTTCTTATCTAAGGAATAAAAGTTGGTTCCTTAGATGGTACAGCTGCAGCTAGAGAGTACAAAACGACCTACATAATGGGGTTACCACTCTGAATTCATTGCTAATGTTGGCAGGGAAGATGAGATAACATATTTGAGTGAATAAAACAAAGTGCAGCTGGCTCTCGTGTGCATCTGCTTGTGCACTGACCACCCTGGGAAGGACACCAAACAGCGGGGGATGCTGATTACCTTTCTATTCAAAAATAAATGTCAGCTTCTTCAGAAGAAAATTCCTCAAAATCAGTAAGAAAGAAAGATCGTTGAGTAGGTGCCAAACAGTGAAATACTGAGATTTTGCCCCCAGTCGAGATTTGACAGATGGAATGAACGCAGGTTATGTTGGGTCCAATCAGGTCCAGCATAGCCTGCCCAGTGAGGGAGCCTGGGCCCAGGCTGTCAGATGGGCTGCTGTGTCCCGGGGTTTCAGGTCTTGCTCTCTGGGGCTCTCGTGGCTGTTAGCTGTTGAGCCTGGTGGCCAAGGGTGGGTCAGGCTTGTTGCTGTCACCTGCTACACAGAGTGCAAGAACTGCTTGGGACAGGACCGCCTGACTAGTTCATTATCTTTCCTTAGGAACCTGCTGGCCCTCAACCAGGGGCTCGGACATAGGCCTCCCAGGCCTGACTCAGAGAGAGTTGAGGGTGCCTTTTTTGGGGGCAGCTGCTAGCTCCCCTGTAGTCTGAAGCGACTCCTGTCTTATGGAGCCTCCAGGTGAGAAAGCGGGAGAAGCCACTGGGCTGCGCATCACGCCCCAGCTGCTGAAGCTGCGCACAGGCGAGTTTGCCCTGGAGTCCATCCTGCTGCTGAAGCTGCGAGGTTTGGGACTGGTGGACCTGGGCTGCCTGGGAGAATGCCTGGGCCTCGAGTGGTTGGACTTGTCAGGCAATGCACTAACCCAGCTGGGCCCATTGGCCTCCTTGCGCCAGCTGACCGTGCTCAATGTCTCCAACAATCGGCTGACAGGGCTGGAGCCACTTGCAGCCTGCGAGAGCCTGCAGAACCTCAACGCAGCAGGTAACCTGCTGGCCACACCCGGCCAGCTGCAGTGCCTGGCAGGGCTGCGAGGCCTGGAGCACCTGCGGCTCCAGGACCCCTTGGCCCGGCTCAGCAACCCACTGTGCACCAACCCCTCCTACCGGGCTGCAGTGCAAGAATTACTGCCGGGTCTGAAAGTCATTGATGGCGAGCGCATCTCCGGGCGTGGCAGTGAATTCTACCAGCTATGCCGGGACCTGGACAGCTCCTTGTGCCTCAGCTCAAGCCCTGGACCCAGAGCCCCAGAAGCCCAGCCCTGGGTGGAGCCAGGATACTGGGATTGCTGGCCCACCCGGAGCAGCTCCATCCTGGAGGAGGCCTGCCGGCAGTTCCAGGACACACTGCAGGAGTGCCATGACCTAGACCGCCAGGCCAGCGAGTGCCTGGCTCAAGCTGAGCAGGCACTCAGCCCTGTGGGCACCACTTCTTCCTTTGTTTTCTAAATGCTCCCTGGGGCTCAGGACAGTATGGCAAGGGAACCCCACTGCACCTCCCTTCCAGCCTCTGCACTCACCCCTCTTGCCGGGTTGTCGTGTGCCCTGTTCTGTCCTCTGCCACTCCCTCCACATCCTGCAAGGATGAACCTCCAGAGGCCCCTCGCTAATAGAAGGGCTTGCTGAAGGCAGCTGGCCTGAGTGCCGGATGGGAGCCAGGCGACTGGGCCAACCCCGTGTCTGCAGCCGCTCCAGACTGAGACTTAAAGAGGAAATTGCTTCTCCCTCAGACTACAGGTGACCAAAACAGAGATGCACAACACCACCACCACCCCCATTCATAGGAGGGGGTAGCCCGGAGCTCACCCTCCATTCAAGCCTGCCTGTCTGAGGACTAGACTGTGGCCTCGTCCCGTGTTTCCCCACAAGCTTCTCTGCCTGTTTTCACCCACTCGTGTTTCGGTGTGCTCACTGTCTGGGCCAGCCCGGTCTTCAGTCTCGGTCCTTGGCCTCACTGCACTCACCCTGCTTCTTCCCAGGCCGAGGAGGCACATGCATGCGTGAGTGCTTGTGTGCGCATGCGTGCAAACACATACCCCTCATTCCAAAGCTCTCTGCAGACTTGAGCTGAGGGGAAGGGGCGCTACGCAGAGAGCAGAGAGAACACAACTTGGATAGAGTTTTATTAGCTCACGATAAGGGTGGCCTCCTGTGCTGGAGAGGGTGGAGCCTTCCACTGGGAACTGCCTGCAGCCATCCAGGAAACTGGAAGAAAACAGATTTGGATGTGAGAGAGGCTGTTTTGGTCCCTGTCCCAGCCTCCTTCCCAGGCTCTTAATCCATCCCGTCTGCCTCCCACAGCCCACTCCACTCCAAGGGCTGTCCTCTGGACGCCTACCAGATGGACTCAGCTGGGGGGCAGGGCCTTGAAGAAGGCAAATTGTCCCGGGAAGTAGTATCTGTGGGGGTCTTCACCAGCCCGCTCCACTCTGCTGCACTGCTGTTCCTGGTGCTCCTCCAGTTCCTCCTGCAGCACCAGCGGCAGTTAGCAGTGTCTGGAGGGCAGGCAGGGCCCACCTCCACATCCCATGAGAAAAGTCTGGACGGGACCCCGGCCCCTTGCCTGCCTCTTGCACTCTACTCTCCATCCTCCTCCCACCTCTCCATGCAGACCTGCTGCTCAGCCTCTCCCACAGGCCCACCTCTGTCCATCCCAGGACCCCTTGCCTGCCTCCCAGCTCCTGCCCCTTGCACTCTGCTCTCCCTTCATCCTCCCAAAGCCTCCATCCAGACCTGCCACGCAGCCTCTCCCACAGAGCCCCATTTCTATCCACCTTCGCAGCCCTGTCTTCTCACCGGCCGGGTTTGTGTCTGTATGGGACAGTGTACCATCCTGCCCAACACTTTATCTTCAGGGTCCAGTTTGATGCAGGCCAGGCATTTCCGTTTTCTCTGGGAAGGACAGTACAGGGTGAGGAGAGAGAAATTAGGCATGCAGCACTCCAAGGATGGAAGCTGGCAGCTGCCCACCATGGCAGCCAGCAGGCCCTGCAGTGGAGGGGCAGGGGACTGGGAAATCTCAGAAGGCAAACAAGCCTAACACTTACCAAACTATGGAAGTTGGATGTGTGTAGGCAGGAATGTTTCCACACGGCTGTGTGTGTGCACATGTGTGTGAAAGCAAGTATTACCCTCAGATGGGCGTTCCCCATCTGACTTCCACTGCCACTACTCTGCCCCTGCTTATTCACATCTTGGATGATGTGGCTTGCATCATCATCCTGGAACCGCTAAGACACTCTGGTCCCCTTCTTCAGCAAAAGGAGCTGAGGCCTTCATGGAGCCCACAGAGCCTGGGAGTGTGGCTCAGGCAGTGGGAGCCAGGACCTGGACAGCTGCCACGGGTTTGCCCCAGGATGGCTGATTAAGACTGAGCTGAGCTGGCCACGTATGAATCAGCCCAGGCTGGGCCAGCTTTATGCAGTGGGCAAACCCCATACCACAGGCTTCTTCCACCATTAGGCCTGAGAGAGGAACTAGGAGGTGAACCTCATCCTGGTGAAGACAAGTCCTCTTGTGCCCACCCGCAGCCACAGGCTCAGAGGGTGCTGTGGTGGTGGCCGTGGCCTCCATCCTCTGCATCGACCAGGCCCACACATTCACACCCAGCCTGTGGCCATCGCATGCAGCGTCACTCACTCCATTGGGCTTGACTTTGCACTCTGGTTTCTTCCAGTCCTTCTTCCGGCAGTTCGTCTGCTGAAGCTTAAACTCCAGCCTCACGAAGGTTCCAGCTGGGAAGGGCTGTGGCAGACAGACAAACAAGTGCAGCAGCCAGCAGAGCAGTTTTGGGTGGGGCCTACATGCAGGCTTGCAAGAATACACATGTACACACAGTGTAACGTGCAGCCGAAGGGGTGGGTGGGCCTTCCCTGCAGAGCCAGGTGCTCAGGTAGCCCAAGCAGTTCTGCACCCACTTCCCAGGAACTTTCTGGCCTCCCAAGGCGCCCATCTCCCCACTCCCCCATGGGGCCAGCCTCCTAACCGTGTCCATGGCGCTGTCCACACCCATCTCCTGGAAGGCCCACTGCACAGGGGGGTGCTTATGGAATTCCTCCAGGGCCAACTGCAGGCCCCGTTGCTGGGCCGGGGTGAGCTCAGCACCGCTGACACCTGCCATGCCTAGCCACAGCGCCACTGGGATCAGGAGCCCCCTCATGGCTGCACCTGGGACTGTGCCTGGCCCTGCAGAGCGGGTGTACACAGTCCTCAGCCTTGGCGCCAGCTGGGGAGCCTGGCCCTCAGGGCTCCAAGCCCGGAGCGCTGGGGGCAGAGGTTCAGGAAAGGGGAAGCTAGCTCTTTCCCGGAATGGCCCTCAGTTAAGGGCTTTCCATTCCCTCCCGCCCTGCCCCACACTGTTCCCTGGAGACAGGGAAATTTCAGCCAAGTTCCTTGCCAAGAGCCTGATCTAAATCCCCTTGCGCTGGCTGCTCCCAGAGCCCCCTCTCTGCTCTCCCCACAACGCCGTCTCAGCCCACCGCTTGTCCCTCCCCTGCTTCCAGGCTTCTGGCTCCCATTCCTCACCATCAAGCCAAGGACAGCAGGGGGAGGGACAGGGGCTGGAGGCTGAATATTTTTGGGAGGATGTAAATACGTGGGGGATGGAGGAGGGCAGCAGGGTAATTAACCCTCCTGGCGCACGTGCGGACCATCAGCGCGTCCCCAACCCCTTCCCCAGCCCAGAAGATCAGGGTCTCATGGACTGCCCCTCCCTGGCTTTCCTTGCCTTTCCTTTCCTTGTCCCCAACACCTTCCTCCTCCACCCTTCTGATCCTGTCCACCAATCTACGATTGGGACTACCTGACACCACCAAGAACCCTACCTGTCCTGGTGGTCTTGGGACCAAAGAGCCACAGACCAGGAAACTGAAGCCGCTTCCGTAGAAAACCTGTTGCTTCAAATCCAGAGTCTTATCCCGGGAGCCGCTACTCCGCCCGCCCGCCAGCTCGCCTCGGGTCCAGGCGCACCCTCACCTCCTGCGCTGCGGCTTTGGGGTCTCGCCGTCGGAGGTGGGGCCTCGGCCGTCGGAGGTGGGGTCTCGGCCAGCGGCCTACCCGGTCTCCTCGCCCCTCCCTCCTCCCGGGGCGGCCCATACCTCCCTGCAATCCCACCTCCTGGTCATTCCAGCAACTCTAGCTCCTCCCATCCCGGGCGCCAGGCGGGAGCCCGCCCGGCCCAGTGAGATGGGTCCCCGCCGCCTGACCCTGACCCTGACCACGGGCTAGGCTGCCCACCCGGCCAGCTCCGCCACCCAGGGAGCACGCCAGGGCCCAGCCGACCATGCGATCCCACCACACCTGGCTAAGGGATTAAGACATTTCCGCGGTCTCTCGGGAATGTGAGCCCGTGCTGCTCCCCACCTCCAACGCCAGGTAGGACTGCCTTTTCTTGGGTCCTCCCTGTGTGACCAGCCTGTCTAGCCTTCCCAGAAACCCAGAGTCCCTCAAAGCAGATGAACCCCTCGGGAGTTCTTGGGTCCCTGCCCCACTCCCCCACCCATCCACCTACCCACCTGTCCTAGGTCACAAGGAAAGGCAGGTGTCTTTCGTTGCCACCTCTGATCTCTGATGCCACAGATACAGTGCTGCATGCATCTTTGCCGACCCCTTTCTCATGTTCCATCGTCAGTGGCAGTGGACAAATGAAGGAGTCTCCTGTGGGGTGTCACTGGGGGCCTTCTGCAGGGGCAGGATGCCATGGCCAGCTTGCAGATGCGGTGGGAGCTCAGATATTGGAACTGAGGGTGCATCTCTGGGGCCCTGGAGATGGGTAGCAACCACAATTTATCTACTTCCCAGCCTGACGCTAATCAGGCTAAGCTATCACTTAGCTTTCTGAACTTCACCTGTGCAGCAGGGGTGACAAGCCTTACCCTTATGGATGGCATCGGGGCTTGAATGGGAAATGTGAAAAGTGACTGATAGATGCCCTGTGTAGAGTACAGCAGGGCTTGTCCAGTCCCTATGCGCCCTGCCAGGAGTCCCTGCTGAGAGCCGTTACCAGGCGTGCTGGGGCATCGGACGACGCCTCAGCCCCCATGCTGTCAGTGCCAATGAGAAGTGCAAGTTCTGTTTTCCAAAAGCTTAAAGAGCAGTGAGAGAGGCAGGGTGCACACACAGAGATGTTTCCTGGGGATGGGTGAGCACTGGAAGCTTGCGGGGGCAGGCAGTGATCCAGCGAGCTGAGGTGTGAGCTCCCGCGTGCTGGGGAAGGCGGCATCGGGCCAGGACCGAGTCAGGGAGGCGGAGAGCAGGCTTCTGGGAGCTGCTGAGGTGGACAAATGCCCACACACAGTCACCTGGGTTATAGAGACTGTGAAATGCACATGTCCAGCTGCAGAGCTTCACGGGGGCAGGCGGTGAGGGGCTGTGTGGCATATACGCGGGCGCCCAGCTCCAGGCAACGCCGCCCAGGTCAGGGGAATAGCAGCTATCATATCAGTTTCTGAAAAATTGGTTTTGGAACAGCTGAGATATATGAATCTCTGTTTTTCCATTACGGTGCCCAGAAGATCACTGACCATAAGCTGCTGCCTCTGATCCTGCTCCTGGTTAATGCTCTCTCCCATCCTGCAAATAAAGTAAATCTTAGCCAGCCAACAGCACAAAACACAAAAACACCATACCTTGCTGATGTGCGTAGGAAGGCAGCAGGTCACAGCACACGTGTCTGAGTTTCCCATGAGCCAGGTGGCATTGGCTTTCATGACCTTTGGGGAGCGAACCAGCGGATGAAAGATCTCTCTCTATCCACCACTGCCCGTCCCTTTTCCTCTGTCATTCTGCCTTTCAAACGTATGTTTTTCAATTGGAAAAAAAGAAAGAAAGAATGAATCCAGGGCTGACATTGTGACATAGTAAGCTATACGTTCAGCTTTGACACCTGTATTCTGTATTGGTGCTGGTTCGAGTCCCGGCTGCTC